CGCCGAAGGTGGAGAAAGACTTATCAATATTAATACGGGCAGTCGTACGGTGTGGTGCGCTGTGGTACTCTGCAAAAAGAACTAGTAAAGTAGAGCTACTTATCATGCAGTTTTTAAAGTATTCGTAGTGGAGGCGTAATGATTGTTGAAAAAACCCTGTTAACGTTGTCAGTTATTTATAATTAATACCTGCCTGGATCAGCAACTTAATTTTGTTTTATACGTGTAAAACCTGGCGAACGATTACGTCTATGTAGCTCTGCGAAGGCTTTCGTCTTTGTCGTTAGGACAAATGGTTGTAAGACAACAACGGATAGTTTGAAGTTGTTTGCAACAGGTGAAGCCAATTGTGAAGCCAATTTAATCGAAGCTGACATGCGAAGCATTCGTTCGCACCAGTTTCATCGTGTTGCTGAGCACAGAGTAAAAAGTAAGAAGGATGAGAAAGAGGTTGGATGGTGACGTTCAAATGACAAGTAAGTGGCTGAGGACGGAGTAGAGGGGGGGGGGGCTAAAAAGAGCCGCTAGCTCAGCCAAACAGACAGGGGCGGGGGGCTAGGGGAGAAAAACAGGAAGCCGCGAATCGACGTTGGGTAGCTTGGCGTGGCGCGGATAGCTGACACCTAACGCGGTCAGGCAGCGATTCGTTTCGCATCATTTTGTACACCGCCGTTTGTCGCCCCGAATTCCTCAGAAGCTGCGTGATGGCCAAAGCTATAGTGTGGGGAGTGGCCGCTGCTGCCGTGGAGAGCTGCTCAGAGTTTAGCAAATCTCGGCGAATAGCCTAGCGTCAGTGTCGGTTGAACTGCGCGAGGTCCTACGTAGCTGCACGCCCCCCGCCTCCAACAGCCACGCCTGGAATGACACTGGAACGGGACGACTCCAGCCTGGCACACAAGCTGAGCTGCACACTGCTGCACTGGGAACAGGTTTGGCGTCGCCGGGGCGCGGTGGCGGCGGCCAGTGACGGTCAGTGGCGGCTACCCAAACAACGACCTCCGCTGCTTCCGAGCGTACGGTCCCGAGGTTAAACTTCCGTCAAGTCGGAAACTCAGGGTGAAAACGACGGTGATTGTCGTGTTTCAATCCTCCGGGGGCTATGGACGGTTAGTCGCTATGGGAAGTCACACCTTCCTGCCTTGCGGGTCTGCCTAGCCCCCGGCGCGGAGGGCAGTCCCGTCACACCCGCCTGCCTTGCGGGTCTGCCTAGCCTCCGGCGCGGAGGGCAGTATACTGCACAGTAAAAAAAGAATGTCTGTCTTTTTCTTAGGCAAAAAGGGAAAACTTTGAGGAAGTTTCCTCTCCAAACAAGGGATCTTCCTCTATTTTTTTAGGAGTCCCCTTTATAAATGGATTAGTGTTACTCAAACCAGAAGAGGTCTCTGAAATTTTTTCATTCCCCCTCTACACTAAACACTAGACTTTGTTTTTACCGTGTACCACCACCGCGCTCACCCGCAGTGCGGGTTTGCCTATCGCTGGCCGCGCCAGGGGCCCTCCAGTCGGACCGTGTGTGTGTGTGTGTGCGCGCGAGTAACGTGTAACCTTTGGCACCGGGTGGTTCACCAAACGGCCTATTCCCGTCCCTGTGGCCGAGGCGCTCCAGGGGATAATAGCTTTATGCAACGCGCCGATCGCCGCCACTAGAGTGGCCTGCGACGGCTTTTTGTTTCCAGGCGGACGGTGATATTTCGCTTGATTGTAACGCATGATCGCCTCGGGGGATGCGCGTCTTCGTTAAGTGTGTGTGTGTGTGTGTGTGTGTGTGTGTGTGCGCGCGCGCGCGCGCGTGACGTCGGCTGGTGCGTACTCGCGCCGCGCTGCTGCTGCGCCGTGCGTCGCGGTGCGCGGGCGGCCGTTTCTCATAACCTGCGGTGCCGTGGCGCGGCGGGGTCGTTCGTCGTTCCCTCGCCGTGGCGAAACGCGACCTTTCCCTCTGATCCGCTGCTGTCCTGCCGCGCCCTGCTGCAAGCGACTGTGTGCGACCCACGCGGCGACAGGAGCGAGGAAGGGGGGGGGGGGTACTTTTATCCTCCTTCCCCTTTTCCCCCCTGCTCAATAGTTACCGGTTGTTTCACCTTTGCTGTCATTGCCACCCTCTTGGTGTAAATATTATAACAGCATTTCTCTAACACAGTGGAAACCAGTGTGTGAAATAGGGATCATCCAGAAAGTACGTCCGTCAATCGCCGTTACCAACATGCCAAGGTCAGCCTATGCAACGTTCCATAGCGCCTGATCAGTAGGCAACATCCAGCCTACAGTGCAGGCGTGCACTGCGGGGTGGCCTACCCTGGGCCTCGCAGGCGCGGAGCTCCCGTATTTTGCCGAATGAATCTGAGAAAAACGGAATCGAACACTTATAAATTTCTTATTTGTTTTACTTGCGAATGTTCACAACACTCATGAAATGTGCACTGTAAACTCAAGTGTGTGAATGCCACACACTTTAAGGTGTGTGAGTGCTCATACTCGTGCACTTAAGGGAGTCAAGTTGTGGTGTGAGTTTTCCTTTCAAGTGTACTCACTCACACACACACACACACACTCACACTCTGCGGGTGGCAGCTACGTGTGACGAGCGGGAGGTGGGCAGGTGGGCCGCGGCCGCCGCCGGGCGAAAGTAAGAACTGCAAAGAGCGCCGCGCTCCGCTCCGCTCCACGGCTCTATCGGCGCTCCGGAGCCGACGCGGTGCCCTTTGTGCTCTGCTGGTGGCTCCGGCCGCCCGCCGCTCTCTGCCGCGGAGAGGAAATTGAAAAGGGTTGTCATACGTGCTTTAGAGCGCTTTAGAGCGCTTTAGAGCGACGCGCCGCGAGGCGAAACTCGCGCGCCGCACAGAAGAGTTGGTTCCGCCCGCGGCACGACCCGCGCAGCGCCAGTTCTTGGCCCTAGTAGCACACACATTTCGTTCCTCAGAGCGCCTACGGAACCATCAGAGAACCAAAAGAATGTTCTCAGAACGTTGTCTGAATGTTTGGTGCTACAAGAGGGGAGTCTTGGCTTTGGGTGCTGCTGCTATGTGCCATGCTCTGTTGGTTTTTGGGTTGTTTTATTTTTATACTATTTTTGCATCAGATGATACATTTACTTAACGCTATCGCTGAACTGCAAAAATGATAATGTATAATAGTCAGCACGTCTGCGTCACAGTACAGCTTCACAGTTTGACAGAGCGATATGCATCCGGCATAAGAGAAGAAATGGATTGGGGCGGGCGGGAGTGCTCTCAACTTTGCACCTTGAGATAATAGGGAATCGAAACTTGTAGGAAAGTATACTTTTAGACTCGACTAATTGCTTCTCGGACAAGGTCTGAGATCTGTACCCCCTCTAGTTTTTCATGATCCCCTCCTCAGGCGCGGGACGTGTTTCTTTCTCTTCCTTCCGGTTGAAGAGCAGAGCGCGGGGCGCCGCGCCGCCGCCTCGCCTTCCGTCACGTCGGATGTCGGCGTCGCGGCGCCCCGCGCCAGCCCAGCGCAGGGCGGCCCGGGGGGTAAAGGGAAGGGAAGCGGGGGGGATGGGCTTGGACTTGTTGCATCACGTTTGCTAAATAAGTTTGTAAACTGGCGTGTGGGCGGTGGAAGCCGCAGAGGTTCTGTGCGGGCCACGCAGCAGGTTCGTGCGTGCGTTGCCGGCCCGGCCGCCGTGGCTGCTGTGAGTGAGTGGAAGGGCCTCAACTCTCAGCTAGAGGCTAGGCTAGCGCTAGGCTAGCGTGCCGCGCCCCGTGCGAAGTGTTCCCCGCCCGCCCGCCCGAGGCCCGCCTCCTGCCCGCGGTGCTCGGCGCGGGTCGCGTTGCGTCATGAGAGATATGCTAAATCGGATCGGAATGGCAATGGTATGGGATTTGGTGCGCCCCGCGCCGTGCGGTGGTGTGGGTCGTTGTCGTTGGACGCGTTTTGTTCCGTGCCAGTCCGTCAATTTCCCTCCCCTTCCTGCCCCCTCCCTTCCTGGTCTTACACTTGCGTCCGTAGCGCCCGTTCTGCCGCAACCTGCTCTGCACCGAGACTAGGTAATGTCCATTGTTGGGTCGCTATGGTCGACGCGATTCCAGCCGAGCGGATGGAGTGGGGGGTCCTTCGGACGCTCCCCGGCTCCCCGCGCCTGGAGTAGAAACAGACCGTGGCAACAAGTCTGGTGGTCACCTGAAATCCAAGTGTATGAATGTCGCACACCTGCCGGGGAGTGAGAAAAAACACACACCTGCAGATGTGTGAATGATCGTTCACACACTTAGGGCCGGATAAATGGGCTACCCTTGTAAGTGTACGAATCTTTACCCGCTCGCCTTCAGCAGGTGTGTGAATATTTTCACTCGCCTGCAGGTGAGCGACATTCGTACGCCTGGATTTCCAGTGTTCCCGTGGGCGTGTGCGTGCCGCGTGGTATCGGCAATAGCTCACTCGGCTCGGCTCCGCTACGCTCAGCTCGCGTGGGGCGTGGGTGGGAATGTGGGAACGGAGCTCTGGTAGCGTGCGGGCCGAGCGGGGCAGCGGGGCGCGCGGCCGCCAAACAATGCGCGGCCCGGCCAGGCCGGCGGCCAGCCCAGAGAGAAACAACACTTCGACGGAATGTCAATATTATGATTATATTGCTTGATTGAGCCGTGACGGAGTATCGAACATGTGTTCAGACCGAATGTACTTGGGTAGTAACTGAAAACATGCCAATTGCAAGTTGACCAAGAAGCAGTGAGCGAATGATAGTCCCAATGAAAACGGTTCTGTCACGATGACAGCGACAGCACTGCGTGCGATCTCTATTTTTTTTTGCATATGTCGCTGGTGACGTTCTTAAACGTTACGGGGCTAGGTTACCTCCGTGACGTTTTTTGTGAGTAGAACAAAACATCAGAGAGGACCTTTTCTAGCAAATCATTGGTGCAGCATACTTACCGTATTCTCTCTTGAAATTGACTGTGAACTTTCTTTCACTGGCAATGTTTTCAGTTCTTTTACATTTCCTGGACTTGTGTTTAATTTTTGTTCCTGGATTGTTACAGCTTGACTCAACGATGGACTATATCCCGACCAGGATGACGAAGGTCTCTACTCCTAAACCGGCTGCCAATCCCTTGCAGTTTGTCAAAGTGGGACCATGTGACCTCTTTAAATCTGCTCAAGAAACTCTTAAAAAAGTGGAAGAAGTAAAAAAGTTAAAAAGAGAAGTCAGAGATGAAGCAGAAGACTGGCAATCGGTATGTTTACCTTTACTACTACTAAAAGTATTGAATTACATTATAATATTTGTATAATCTGCCAACCATTCTTGTGGTGACTTTTTTTCCAGAACCTAGACAATTGGAAATGTAGTCGAAGAAAGCGAGTTGAACACATAATTGACAGGGTTGTGGAAGTTAAGAAGTTTGAACTGGAGGAGCATGAACGAAACCGACGTAAAGCTAAAACTTTTAACGAAATGATGGAGGAGAGGTAATTTTTTCAGTACTTTTATTTTTTTTAACAACATACGGTTATTTTGGTTTACTGTTATTTTTTATTATTTGTTTTCTTTTGCGCTCTAGAACGTCACGGGGGAGGAAAATGAGTCTTCTAGTTCACAAAGATGATGATTCAAATGATCTAAGTGATCTTGGCATTGGTACCAGCAGTGATAAAAGTAGTGTCAGTGAAGATTATGGAAATGATGACAGCAATAGTGTGGTAAGCATCAATTTTGTTTCTTTTGTCACATACAGTATTTGTAAATAAATAGTGCTTTGTTTAAGATAATTTCTCACCATACTCTGTAAGAGCCAAAATTATTATTTAAAAAAATAAATAATTGGATTTAATTTTACAGGAGGATGGAGATGTCTCTGTTAAAATTCACTTTAGTGACCAAAATGGAGATAGTGAACCCAGTGGCAAATTAAAGAATCATAATGGACGTCGTGATGAAGTCTCAGAACTTGAGGAGTACACTTATGACCGAGCCATTCAAGGCTATGTTAATTTTACTGAGACTCGGGTCAAGTCAAGGAATGCTAACCAAATCTCCAGGTCAGAAAGTGAATGTGTTGAGGAAACATCAGAGGAAATGGCAGCCTGCTCATTTACACAAATTGAATCTGCTGCTCCTGTTCGGAAACCTAGAAACGATTCAAAAGTAGAGGAAGATATTGCTGAGATTGAAAGACTTCAATCAGATAATATATCATCAAGTGATTTACAAAGTCCTGAAAAGAAGGTCAATGTTCCTAAAGTCAACATATTAAAGAGAAAAGAATTATTTGAACGGTCAGAATCAAGTGAATTAAATGAACATTTAAAAGTTGCCCCTCGTGCAGCTGGTGATTTTCTCAATTCTAAGAGCATTCGTGATCGTGTTTCAAACCTTGAAAGACAAAAGAGTGAAGAACAATCAGAAAAAATGAAACAAGTGAAGCAACTTTCAAGTGAGATTTCTGTCAAGGACAGACTATCACGGCTTGAAAGACAACAGTCTTCTGACAGTGAACTAAGGTCTTGTAGTAACTCCAACCTTCCTATTCTTGGTTCTTCTGGAGATGTGGTTGTATCTCCCCCTCCTTCAATAAAGGATCGGCTCAGCAGCTTAGAACAAGTGGCATCACATGACAGAACATCAAAGACGGTTGCTGAAATAACTCCAGCTTCGATAAAAAATCGTTTGTCAGAGCTTGAAGCGCCTAAAGAGCCTTTGAAGAAAGTAACACCTGTTAAAGACCCTTCTTTCCGTGATAAGTTGGCAAATTTTCGCAGCAGTGAACTAGACTTAAACTGTCAAGAAGCTCAGAAATCAAACAGCTCATTTGTGGACTCTTCTGCAAGAAATTCAAACACTACTGAAAGTGAATTCTATCACAAAAGAACATTCCATAGATCCTTAGACAGTTTGGATGTAGATTCATCAAGTCTTTTAAATAACGAGCGTTATGAAAGAGTCCAAAGCTTAGAAGATCTTGACAGCTGTGGTCCTAATAGAAATTATCCTGCATCAGCTTCATCAAATGAGAATCTAGTTCTCTCTTCACACAGTGGAGACACAGACAGAGAAGACAGTGGTATTCATACTGCTGATGTCTCATGTTCAGTAAGTCAGGCTGATGAACCTGCAGATTTTTCTGATGTTCCCTGTACAAATATGCTTGATGGAAATTATGAAAACGAAAGGAACAATGAGTATGCTCCTCCCACTATTGTCAGCCAGCTTGCTAAAATTAATCTGACCAGCGAAACTCCACACAAAAATGTTCCACCTCAGCCTGAAGCTGTAAGTTCTGGAGCTGGTTCCCCTACTCACTCACAGGTGTTGGTTGATTCATCTAATTTATTATCACCAGCCTTTAATTCTGACTTGGCTCCTTCTACTAAAATGTTTTCTGTCCAGCACTCTTGTCTTCCAACAATTCCTGAGGTTTGCCATGACTGTCCACCTGTGGTGCTCGTATCAGATGCTGAATCTATGACTCCTGCTTGTATCGAACCTGTTTCTTCATCTTTAATGACTTTGCCTCTTGACGTTGAAGATCTTTCTGGGTGCACTGACTCAATCAACTTAGAAATTAAGGAAAATCTAATCCCTGAGGATGTGGTGATGGCGCCAACTAACACTGATGAGAATAGTACTTTAGTACCAAATGAATGTCCATTCATGCCTTATACTAGTCCTAATGAATCAAACTTATCATGTGGTGGGGAGGTTGAGTGTCTTCTTGTCTTCAACAACTCTGGTGCTCAGCAAAGTTGCCACAAATCCATTCAAGAGGAAGATAAGCTAACTAATAATGTCTCAGAGATGGTCGTGATGAAGACCTCTGGTGATAGTGATGAGAGTTCCGCTTTTGATAAGGTTAGAAACAATTTGCTCATGCTGAAAAATTACAACTTGTATTAAAAACGTTTTATACAGTAGATATAATATACCAACATATTTTTTTTTAAATTGAGATTCTTTCTTGCCTCAAACATACCAACATATGTTTTTAAAAAGTTGAGATTCTTTCTTGCCTCATTTAAAGTTTCAACTAGATTTGTACTTATAGTAGATCTGTCTTCAAAAATTTCTTTATCTAATTTTTACATTTTCAAGTTAAAATAGCTTACCAATGAGGTATTTTTATAGTTACCTCTGTTGTCCTGTTGTATTGGTTCTCCGTAGTATGAAAGTACCTCACTGAGCTTATGTTTGCATGAAATAATCTTTTACAGTATTAATTAACTTTTAAGCACAAGCATGTATTTTGCACTAATGTTCTGTATTCTATTCTCTTATATCGTTTAAGATTCCTTTTACCCAATTATAATCCTGTTCCAGGCTCCTATACCATACAGTCGAAGTGGAAAACCAGGAGGGGCTCAATCTTCTGCTTCTGAAGAACTGTTGTCACTCACATCAGCCGAAACTGATATTGATGTTAGCTCATTTCTTGACCAAGCTCTAATGGAAGAGGATCTGAAAATGGAACCAGTATATAGCAGAGTTGATCCAGAACAAAAACATGATGGTTTGGATCCAAAGCAGTTGCTCCAGTTCATTGCAAAAAAAGATGTATGTTTCAAATATTTCTTTTTCTCTCTCTTTTCTTTAATTAATTTTTACAGAGAAATCTATAACCCCTGTTACAGATTTGCCGCAACAATCAGCCTCAGGATGTAGCTGTCTTACCCTTAGCTTTTCCTCTTACATCCTCAATGACAGCTGAGCCTCCCAAAGAAAAACCACCTCCACCTCCAATTGAGCTCAGTGATGAAGAAGACCCAAAGCGGAACATTATGGCATCGAATTTTAACAGTAACAACAACAGTACGAATTTGACTCGACATGGCTCGACCAAAAGACTAATTAAAGATATTCGTCAAAAGAGATCTGACTTTTTGGGCATTGATGGAGGCAATGAGGAAAACTACCTTGATTGTGGTGCGTATTGGTAAATACTTGTTGGTTTGAATTTAAAACTTGATTACTGTCATGTTTGTTGTTTTCTATTTTGTAGAGTTGAAAGTAGCCCCCCCACCAGATATGACTTCATTCCTTCAAGAGGAACGCAGACTTGAACAAGAACTTTACCGACAGATGCAACCAACTTTATACCCTGAGTCTGACCATGGTTCTAACCAAGGAGAAAGTAGGGATTCGGGGGTTGAGCTTGATAACCATCTAAACTCTCACAGTCTCCACATGGACTATTCACCTGAAGGGCATGGATTTGAGGAACATAGCCATCAAAATAATGATGTAAGTGTATATGGCCTGTATCTCAATCATAATCATGCTTATAATGTGACTCATTTTAATCAAACTGAAATTTCTATGATGCTCATCAGCTATTCGGGAACACAAGCTCAACTACAGAAGAAGATGAAATTATGAAGAAGGAAAGAGAAATAATTGAAATGCTAGAAAAAGAGGAACAGTGGCGTTATGGTACTAATACCATACTTTCACCAAGTGACCATCATCAAGTTGGTAAGCTAAAACTTATTAGAGTTTGATTAATTTTCCTATTGTTAGACTTTGCTGTAACCTAAGCATTGTTTGAACAGGAGAGAAACTCGCAGCAAAATTAAGAGAACTTGAACAAGAGAAGTTACGTCTTGAATGGGAGCGGGCTGAAGAGTCACGAAAAGTTGCTGCTGAACAAGCTGCACGTCAAGAAGATCAGAGACGCATTAGAGCCAAAGAAGAACAGCTCAGACAACAAGAGGTAGACTGCTAATATGTTGATCTTTGTCTTTTCTTATTCTGTCTATACATTTAATCAATCACCTCCCATATGGTGGCTTGCTTCTCATAGTATTTCTGAAACAGTAACACTTTTTGTATATATGTAGCTTTGTTAATTAATTTTTGATCTGCTAAAACCCTGATTAATCTAATAGATTTTTCTAACTTCATAGTTACTTTTAGCTGTGTTTTACATTCAGAATATTTCAACTTTAATACCAGACTGATGCGAGCTTTTTTTTTATGTACATATGCTATGTTCCATTATTTACAGAGTATTGTTGGTAGGCTCCCTGCTGGTGTACCATTCAACTGCAACCCTTCAGAAATGAATTTGGTGAGGGTCTATTGTTTCTATTATCCAACATGCATCTTGTTGAGAAATGTGTTTTCATTGCGCTCATTGTTCTCTCTCCACAATGCAGTTATTCTTCACTCCAACTCTAGTTCATATTTTATATGATGACATGATGCTATTCAGACTCCAACCAAATATAAATAGCTGTTTCCCATTGCATGTCTCACAGAAGTGCATTAATAAACATGACTAATACTCTCTATGTATTTACCAAATTACTACACCAAGCATATCATTTTTCCAAGATGCTATTTTTTTGATATTATACATTATGTGTCATTTAGTTACTTAATCGTGTAACACTTGTTGCTTCTTTTGATATTTGGAAATTCTGCTTTCTTATTGATGATAGTAATAGTGTAGGCTAGCTGTCGTTTCACCCTCGTTTTCTTTTATCTAAATCCCCTTAGTAACTTTAAACCTTTTTATATATGATTTTAGGATGCACTTAGAGAGGAGCGTCAACGTTTGAAACAAGAGCAGGCTGAACTTGAAAGGCAGAGGGAATATCTCTCTGCTAATCAAAGCTGGGACTCATCATCTTCTGCTGCTCACCGATCTCTGCAGGATGTCTCTGCTCCTCACAGGGCTGGAAGCCACAATCAGCTAAATGTTCCAAACAGTAGCACTTCTTTAAACTGTCGTCTCTCCCTGCCTGACCTTCAACAGTCAGACCTAACGGTCCAATCTATGAACATTAATCATCATAGACCCCCTCCTCCAATCCCCTTATCTAAACCCTTATCTATTGTTGATCAAGAAAGGCATGGTGTGAATGGCTTTTCAAGGTAAGTTAAAATGTCTAGCTGTTTTTTATATATACCTACTTAAACTTTGTAAATTTTTTAAATTAATGAATCAACAATACCACTAATTGATTTTTTAAAATTTTATTTTTATGAACTACCGATTTTTAGGCAAGGACAGCTGCAATTGTCGTCTGATTCTATCCCAATGGTTGAGTCACATCACCATCGACATAATGCAGTTGGTTTGCCATCTGTACCTGTTGCGACCTCTCCTACATCATCAACAGGAAGTCAGCAGATGACTCGTCAAACACTTCATGCTCTGAGCGCGGCACCAAGAAGTAGGATTATTGCCACAGACACTTGGGTTCAAGCAAAACGTAAACCAGAAAGCCAGCGAAACAGCAACCGCGACCATTATCAACATTGGCTTATACAGGTAGAATGTTAACATTTTTGTTTTAGTTGTTCTGTGTTTTTAAATTCAGTACACAAGATTCTGATATTTTGTCTTCGCCCTGTAAATGCAATTTAATGTGATATTCCAGGAGGCAGAGCACAGACGTATTACTGAACAGCAACAACGAAATGCTGTTTCACGAAAGTCATTACCTGCCAACTTATCACAAAATCAAAATCCTCAATCCAAACCAACATCTGTTCAACCCAATGGGCAACCATCATGGCAGTACCAGCATTCTCAGCATCAGCACAGCATGCATCAGGTAAGCACATACAGGTCTTATTATATGCTCTAATCATGTGTATTCTCTGACAATGTCGATTCACTCTTACTTTCAATTTTCGGTGGTCCATTAGCATCAACTCCCACTGCACAATCATCTTCAACATTCACATATCCCAGTTCCAACAGCTGCTCCAACTGTACCACCACCTCCTAGACAAGAAAAACCATTGCCTGATGCAATTATTCAAACACTAACTCAACGTGTGCAGAACAGAGCTAGTATGAATGAAAACAATCGAAGGTAATTCCCAATATGTAACATATCGTTTATGTATAGTTTGATAATGTAACCTCTTCTAATCTGGCCAAATTCTAGTGTCTTGTTATTTTTAATTTTATTTTTTGTACCTCTTCAGACATGAAAACAGCCCTGCGCGCGACAGCCGCCCCCCAAATCAGACTGTATCTAACAATATCAACAACAATCTTAGTAATATGAATATGAGTCATAGTCACACTAATGGCAATTATGCAGCTAATTCTCAAGAAAAAATGCTTAGTGTTAGTGGGAAAAAGAAATGTTCACATTGTAATGAAGAATTAGGTATTTCATTTTTCCCTGTAATTTGGTATTAAATTTGTTTAAATGTGTTTTGGATGATAATCATACATTTTTATCTTTTATAGGGAGAGGTGCAGCAATGATTATTGAAAGTTTGCGGCTCTTCTATCACATGGACTGCTTCAAGTGTTGTGTCTGCCATGTTCAACTTGGCGATGGCCTCATGGGTACAGATGTTAGGGTGCGAAACCACAAATTGCACTGTCACAACTGTTATTCCAGTGATGATGGTATGCAGCCAAGAAAATTGTTTCTTTGTTCCTTTGCTTAAAATATATATAGCTTATTAATTTTTTGTGTTTTTTCTTTTTTCTTTCAGGAGTTAAATTTAGTTGTGTGTAGTCTTTTAATATTTTTAAAGATTGAACTTGAAGAAACGTAATAGTCAGAGTCTGTTAGGACTCCTTTTTCTATTTAAGATATGTAGATGTAAATTCTTGTGATGTGTTCTGCTTGAGGGAGAGCAGAACCCAGTGTGCCTGGAAGTGAAATGTCTTATGACTGCATCTTAATGCGATTGCTCATGAAAGTTTTTCTCAAGCCGGAAAAACTTAATTTCTGACAGATTATTCTTTATACCTTTTTACTTTGTAGAGAGAAACGGGTTTCTTCAGGCAGACAAATTTTATGGCTTTAAGAAAATTTTGTACATAAATGCTGTGTTGCCAAATTCAATCTGCTTTTCAACATTCGTTAAGTTTAAACAGACCCAAAGTCAGCCTTTAGTGAGTGGTGTGTTGATGTGTGTGTTGTACAGCTTACAGTTGTAAGCTAAGAGTGAATGATCCTGATCCATTATGTACTAAAAAGCCCAATTATATTGTTTTCCCTGTGAGGGAATGTACTAAATCTACTCTTGTTTGTGATTTTTGTGTATATGTATATTAGAATTTGTACATATTTTGTGTAAAATATTGTATCTTAACATTGAAGGAATTGAGTCAACCTACCATTATGATAAATATGGCAGAACCCATGTTGTACTGCAAAGGCAAGTTAAATACACCACTTAAAATTATAGCCAAAGTTTGTTTATGCTTTTTCATCAGATCAACTTGTAAGTGATAAATAGAACTTGTTCGCCAGTAGCTTTATTTATTTCTAAATTATCTGGAAAGAAATATATTGTTATAAATTTGTTATAAATTAGTTTTTTAATATGTATGTTAAATCTTCAATGGTATATATTATACAAGAGTCCTCAAAAGTCCTTAAATGATATACTTAAACTGAAAAAAGCTTGGAGTTTGAAACTGTTTCTGCATTGTCGAAACTTTAGAAGATCAAACTGTGAGCGTTGTGCTTCTGTTTAATTCACAGTCCAGTTAGTCATACTTGTCCACTCCACTAAGAGGTAGTTTCCCACAAATAAAGGGAAACAATCAACTCGTTCCTTTCTGACAATACTGAACTGTTCAAGTATTGATTTAAAATCATGTAAGTCAGCTTACCTTTTCTTTAAATCAAAAATTTAGATATTTGCTTTTTCAACACCCTGAACCAGCCTTTATTTTACCATAACGTGAAAGTAGGTACTGACGCTTGTTTTGTTTTTATTATTAATAATCCAGTATTTAACCAGAGTCCTAGGATCAAATTACAAGAAGTCCTCTTGTTAACCAAATAGAATCTGTAGATATGCAACATATACTCAACTGTAAATGATCTGTAGTAATGTAGCAATCCTACAATGAACTGTATATCTATAACAATAAAGAGTGCTCTTGGCTCAAACAATTTTGTTCTCTTTTTGCTGATTTCACAGGAAGACCACGTCCATGTTTCTAGTGAGTTGTAGTTAGCTTTGTAGCTACAACTGGCATGGCCACGGGCAACTTCATCAGAAACAGAACAGACTGAAGACACGTGTAGGGTCCCTACCAACAGAGATTGGTCACAAAACGTCAAAATGATAAAAATTCGCATCACTATGACGTCTTTTTAGATCCTAAAACGTCATTCTCACATCACTAATACGTCAAGAGAAGTCTATGGAGTCATTTTACCCAAAAGAATAGGTGAGTTGACATGACAGTAACGGCCAACGCTGGTCCAATTTGTCTCTGTACAGACACTATGAGGAGCTTCCTTTCATGTGCATCAAAGGGTGATTCTTGATTTTTTTATGGTGCCTTAGTTCTTTGTTGTTGATTTCAATCCTCCTCTGTCAAAATCCAGGCTGGTTTGTTATCTTTTAAAAATCTTGGCAATTTGGAAAATTGGTGCAATTGGTTTGGATTGGTGGGGCCGACTCCCTTTTCTCATGCTCTGTCTAAATATCATGGTGCCGACCCACTACCTAGCCAGTGCGCCTTAGGTAGCCTCCCCGCCCTTAGTTAGAGAGACCAGCTCTTATAAAACTCAAGTTTTTGTGGACAGGGGTGGTTTTTAACAGAAACAAAGGTAGTTTTGTGGTGCCTGGTTTACCCCTGTCGATTCGAATACTACTCCATCGAAATCCGGACCCACCAATTTATAGCCTTTGTAAATTTTGCCAAAATTGAAAAAAAATTGAAAATCCCTCGAAATGGTTGGGATTGGTCAGACAGCACCCTATTTCAATCTCTCCGTCGAAATTTCGCGCCGCCGGTCCATTTCAAGTGAGTTACGCCTATTCTTCCTGGACTGGTTCTCCTGCGAGGTAGGCAGCCCATCGTACGCTGCCGGCCAGATTCAAAAGACCTCCTATTGAAACGCAAGTTTCTGTGGACAGGGGTGGTTTCTGGCGGAACCAAAAGTAGTTTTGTGGTACCCTGGTCCTCCCCTGTCGATTCGACTACTTT